AAGGCAACATGGGGATGAGCATGTTTCGTAAATCACTCTGTGTATATATATACGTTTATATTGTTATTATTATAACGAAAAAAAAACAGCTTCTGTTGGGTATATAGTAATCCTTTATTAAATATTTTTTGCAGTTGCTTTATCTCTGGTGAAGATGACGTTATTGCTTTAGCAGATAAGCTTTTATGTTTGACTTACGGCTTCATAAAGAAATCGGGCTGATTTGATTTTACTGTACCCCCCCCCCCCCCACACTGACATTATCGTTGTTATTCGCTGTTATTGAATCATTTGAGGCCTGCTTTGTTAGTGTTATTTTTTGTTTACAGCGATGATTACATCTATAATGATGCTCGCAAGAAGCATATTGTTGTGAGATAATTTATAATATCAACTTAAATCGTATTCGTTTTTTTTTACTTCTATTATAATACATGAGTATTGAGTATATACTATATAGTATATGAGTTACTAAGGAAATATATGTTTTTTTTTACTATAAATCACACAGTATACATATCTATTTAAACTGATTTAAATACATATTCATTCGTACAAATAACGCGACAAAAGTATTTTAATTTCAGAATACCGCCATATCTATACACTATACTGATATATAAAATGATAGCGTTTGTTTGTATATTCGGGGTAAACTCCGAAACTACTTATTGGACCGTGTTGCAGTTTTTTTTAAAATTAAAGAGGACATCACAGAGAAGGTTATAATCATACATTTAGTCCGATAAAGTTAATAAATAATTAGTTATTATTAATTAAAATAAACGTATAAATTATGTAGCTAAATATATTATTATACATATTGTGCGGAACGGCGGCCCGCGGGTTTCCAGCTACCTTCAACCTGACCTTTTTTCTTTTGTGTGTGTTTTATTGGCCAGTAGATATTTGTTAATAATCGTTCAGTAAAATTCAACAATCTATCTATATTATACTTATAGTTGTATCTATCTATCACACTAAAAACACTTCGTTATAACTGTGTAAAAAAAAAAAAATATTAGTAATGATTAAATCTTTAAAAGACGTGATATAATATGGAAATTAAGTAAAATGACATTTTATAATAATTACAAATACCTATGATGACAAATAAGATCAATTGTCATGTTAAATACTTAGTCAACATATTGTTGATACATTATGAATTACTGTAAATACTGTACTGATTACTTAATTGTATTTATTTAAGTATACTTCTACGTCCTGCTAAATAGTTAAACATACTATGTTGACTAAGTATTTAACATTACAATTGATTTTATTTGTCATCATAGGTATTTGTAATATTATAAAATGTCATTTTACTTAATTTCCATATTATATCACGTCAATTTTTTTGTTCTATTCGTAATTGTCAGGAGAAGGTTCTTAACTCTAAAGTAAGATCATTTTAAGAAAATCCACTCGAAAAGTAGGAAATCTGGATTTAGGTGCGATCTATCCAGTTAGAAAAGAAACTAAATAATAATATATTTTTGTTTATTGTAAGGTTGCTTTTGGCTATTGGTCATGATTAAATAATGAAATTAATTTTAGACCTGTAGCATTATAGCAGATAGCTTAGTAAAAAATGTATTACCAAGACTAATTTTCCGACACATGCACATCGTAATATCAACGTGTCCACTGTCAATAAAACATTCGTAATTACATCTGAAAACATTTAACATACTGCGTGTCTCATATACACCGAATATTAAATAAACGAATTGAACAAAGTTTGAATCATATATAAAGTTGGCACATATTTTAACGAGCAACGAAGTGAACGGGATCAGCTATAATATGTTTACAATTAATGCGTTATTGAGTCCTTGAACTTATAAGTATAAGTTATAATATTGCCAATGTATTTCACCTGAAGTAACTTTTGCCAGGGCAACGCCGGGTGGGACAGCTATAGGTATATATAAATGAACGTTTGTGTGTAGATTAGACCCCTGGGAAGAAGATAGATTAATTTAAAAAGGGTTAAATTTGGTTTTTTTTATTCATCGGATTTTAGTACGGTTAGGTTAGGTTAGGATTTTGTATTAATTGATTATACTAATCCACCGTGGGTGGAATTAAGTAAAAACGACAAACTTCGTATAACTTTGATACTCTAGAGTTAAATCATACACTTACGTACAAAAAGCACGGGGTCCGCGCCTATATCATGCCAATATACTACTGCGAATCAGAATTTTTATTCTGGGCAACGGATAAGTTAAGATAAGTTTTGAACGCCATACACCGAATATAAAATAACGAATTGAACAAAGTTTGAGTCATATAGAGTCGGTACATTTAATGAAGTGCACGGGGTCAGCTATTTTTAATAAAAATATATTAACCATTAATACCACTAGGTAGAAACATTTCAATACGTTTTCATTTTGTATATTTACTTTCCGATCACATTAAACGATAAAATTTGAATAAAAAATTATACATATCACCGTCCTAAGGAAAAATAAACAACCAACCACGAGTGAAGCTATGACGGGTCGGTTAGTAATAAAATATTATTTAAATACAACTATTGATTCAACAATATATTATCAAAGGGCATTCATTTAATAATATCTTATATGAATTTAACTATTATACATTTCAATATTAATATGAAAACAAATCATTTGTATAGTATATCAAAGCGCTTATCAAACCAACCATTGACGTTTGACCTTATCTACATATGTTTATGTTTTCATAACTCGTGATTCAATTTGGTCAACTAGCTTTTGAACGTGTATTAATACACGTTTTCAGGGAAAATTAAAATATTGACAAAAGATATATATTTATCTAGCAAACATTGTTGAGTGATAGGTAGAAAGTACATTTACTATATAATTTACTATATTGCACTAATAAGATATGAGCTTATAGAAAAGTACATAAGAATAAAAATAACGTACCTAATTTAATTTAATTTTAAAATAGAGTTCTAGACATTATCTTAAATACAGAGTACCTACCAAGTAAAAGGACTTTTTGTGTGATATCGATAATTTACATATAAAAATCATAAGTATTTGGTGAGTAATTATATTTATTAAAATATACAAAATAATATAGGTATACAAATTGAAAAGGTGGGCAAGTGGGTTGGATGGTGTTAAATTTTAATCCAATGATATAATATCATTGCATACGAAAAACGATTCTGAGCGCAGGCGGTTTGTCGGTATATGGATATTTTATATTATATTTATATTGTTAATACTTATTATTAATACGATATAGCCGCCAGCCATTAAGTTTTAAAAAATAACTAAAATCGATATTCTTGGTTACTTAATATGTATTTTTGTCTAAATTTGAACATAAAATAACTATAAAAAACTGTTTTAATATAAATTGAACTTAAAAAAAAAATTGTTAAGCTTTTTGACAAAACGACTACAATTTTATCGATATTTATAGAACAAAAAAAAAAAATTTTAACTGGATATATCTCAAAACAAATCAAAATATTTTCAATCGTGTAAAGAAAATGCTAACATAGTGTAAGTTGCATGTATCTACATTATACGGTCATTTGTCTTAAAGTTACATCGAAAACCAAAATCAATTTGGTCGAAAAACCATTAAAAACTTTTTAATTTTTACCTCCTCGATGCACCAACTAGATTTACTTTCCCATCAGACAAGATACTGAAATTGAAAATCGAAGCATTATTTCGACTATATTTATCGTGTACACAGAAAAAAAGAAAACATACATCGTTGTAAGTAAAATCAATACATTATAATCGCTTCGCTCAGAATTTAAAATTACGAGATAAAGTTCAATTATATCAAATTGTAATGATCGACAAAAAAAATCCTATCAGTTATAAAAAAAGTTATTAATTTATAACATTCTCAAAAAAATTATAATTTATTGTTCTAATAAACTGATAGAAATAAAAAACCTTGAAAAAAAACCCTAACCTTTGTGGATTTTGGTGGTCAATAATTAATTATTTAGAGCTTAGACCAAATAATAATGCTCTATTATAAAAACACTTTTGTGCACTTGTGCACTTTCTATGATTAAAATAAATTAGATACTCTAATACGTTCAACCTTTTTTAATTTTATGTTTGGTTTTCCGTTATTGAATTTCACACATAATATTTGATAGTTATAATATTTAAAAGTAATACGTTTAGATAAATTGAGATGTGACCTTTCGATTTCTATAAGTCATGCTTATCAGCCACTATAGTTTAAGCTGATTGGTGCGGTTTAAATTGTTATATTTATACTAGTAAATAGCATGTTAATATAATATAATATTATACTATAGTAAGTTTTGTATATTTTATTTTATAATGCGTTACCAATAATTAAGTTTCTAACATTAAAATTAAACAATATAGAACATTCAGAAAAATGTGATTTTATGGATAATAGTATTGTTGGCGTTTAAATGTTTTAAATTATTTAATTTATTTAATATTACTGCATGTTTCAATAGGCATGTTGCCTATTAAAAAATATGTATAAAAGTTAGTATTGCTTAAGAGTTTTGGGGAAGGAACTACGAACAAGATAGATCGTACTATAAAGATGAGTATAATGTATCAATGTGTGTTATTCATATTTCATTTGAGAGACATTGGAATAGAACAATCAATGTAGTATTATTGTAACTCCATAAGCTCAATTAGAATTTTTATCAAAAAAAAAAAGGTTTTTTTTCATTACAGTGATGCCATTTTTTCCTACGAACTTTTAATTTATTGCGGTTTAAGTATGATTGCGAAGTATTTTTAAATTTGTTATATTAGTTCAGATCAATATATAAATAATAAAATGGAATTATAATATAAGCTTATACGATAGTCATAAATAATAATATATTAAAGGCGTTGTCATCAGAATACATAGAATATATTACCTATTATATATTCCAGCCACGAGATCTACAAATATATCATATATGTACATAAGGGGTACAAAAAAAAATCAATGACATACGTATACGCGTAAGTTTACTGTACCTCTGTTTCCGTTCAATGTGCTGAGCGATCAGATTGCTGTAGTAATTCTCAAGGGTGACTTTGGCCTTGGTCGCCTTGTCTAGAGTATGTCCGCTCAACCGGATACCACTTTCGGTCGCAGCGCTCATCTCCAATACACCTATGAAACAGAAAAAAGAAAATCCAACTAAGTATATAATATAATAGACAACCGCACGTTATGGGTACAATGCGCAATACAATTCGTTATTATATTATTATTATATCGTTGCGATATACTATATGATAAAATAATATATATTTGCGGGCACAAGTATTATTTACCACCCCGTTGTTTCGTCTACGGAACGGGAAGAAGCTTTATTGGATTTCCTAAAGGATCCGATTACTCGAACAAAACACATAACAAGGGTGAAGGACAAAAAAAACCTATATAATATATGTGTAAAGCATACGTTTTATTATATTATTATTTTTTGCAATATCATATATATATATATATATATATTTATATATTATGTATAGTGTTGTATACATATGTATAAAATTATTCCCTAATCCAGATCAAACTAACTAGTATATGTGCGATCGTGTCAGTGATTAGCTTATAAATCTAATAAATACATATAATACATATACAGCGAAGCTATTTACAGGAGACTTATACAAAGTAGGTGATTTAAAAAAAAAACGTTGGTACAAAATATTTTTTTATTGCTCCGGATTTAAAAACAAAATCGAATATATAATATATTGTATAATATTCAATTTGTATAATATTTGTACAATTTCAATATTATTTAAAACAAGGAACGTTCTCGACGACATTTGTGACCCAGATATTAAAATTATTTTGAGAAACAAAAATTTTTTTCGTCGGAATTATTGATTCTTTAATAAAAGTTTCTCCACTATATACTTATACAAGAAATATTTGATTAAAATGATAATATATTTAAACAAAAATACGAACGTAGGTGGGACTCGTAATAAACATCGAGACAATACGAGCCGTGGCGATGGGAAGGAAATGTGCGGTGGTATATAGTTGAAGTGTTATGGTACACGTACAACGAGGACGCATGAATTATGGATTGACTATAAATAAACTAGGTACATACTATAGGTGTATACTGTATAAGTATATAGTACGAAGTGTTTTTTTCACTATGCTAACAGTTCACTCTAAAATTATTTCAGAAGATGAATTAATTATTAACGCGTACTTCCCGACCGGACCACAATTTATATTACGTTATATAGGTGTTCACGTCCATTTAAATAAAAAAGTGCACGATACGGCTGCTGCAGCCATGACAGATGTACACTGCCTATATAATACTATCGTCAGACTAAAAAAATCCATATTTTTTGTTGTTGTTAAGACTGTACACGATATTTTGACGATGCATTGTGTGCCGTTGTGCAGTTTACAAAGGAAAAAAAATCATGATTCTCGAATAACAACAGACCCATCGGGATTTGATTCGGCCGATTAAACATTAAACACCACGCGGAACGCTGTCTAACGTAGGTATTTAATTTGTCACACGTTGCAGGTATTGTCGATCGCGCAGTATGCCTACCGATGCGTAATACAATCATTGCATAAATTATAATGTACCTAAGTCCAGCAACATTTTTACGACGAACTGAGAAGTTGCATTACATTAATGTACGTAAGTATATAGTATATTATCAATGCATTAGCATACAGCGACGGTATAGGATTGAAACAAAATGAAATTGAATAAATAATTTATAGACATAAAAACAAAAATAAAGTTGACTTATATAGGTACTCGTACAGAACATATTGTGAGGTCTACCGTAATATAACTACCCCCCCCCCCCTACTCGAGCGCCATCAATAGGACTGCGTTATATGATATAATATTACCTCCGGAATCTTACAAATCCACGACATGGCAAATTTAACATTCAGAATAATCTATTCAACTCTGAATAAACTGAGTAAACTGATCCAATATTTAAGACTCAGATATTATTAAGTAGGTACGCCTAGGTACAGACATTTTTTTTTTTTTTTGTAAAATTTAAAATGCTCATACAACTTGCTTTCAAATAAAAATATCCTTATTTTTTACCTTTAAATTTTATAATAGGTAGTTCAATTAAATCTCTAATGTTGAATATAATAGAGTAAAATTGATAATCCTGAACGTAAATTAATGTACTATTATTATGCGTTAAGCAGTTAAGACGGAGACAATCCGTGTAGATGAAACCCATGCAGGTATCGAACTGATTAATGCATACAATATGGTTTTTAAATAACAAGTCTTAGAAATTAAATTTGTATACCTACATTTTCAAAAAGATTATATTATTCAGACTGAGATATATGTTTTTGAACGCTACATCACATATTTATAGTATTTACATCTGTATATTATGTAAATGTTCCAAGCGTCGGATGGGGTCTCTCCACGGGCTTCTTCCGAGGGTAATAATATTCTTTGAATTACTTTCGACAATTATTAACAGTAGGTATGTATATATATATATATATATATATGTATAATATTACCAAACAAACATTTGAAGATCATTTTCATCAGGAACTATAATACGAACGCGAGTTGTGTACTTGTGTATAATATTGACGAGTATAGATATAGATTAATAAATAATAAGACGGTAAGATAATCAATAATTATTTATAATATATTGTACATTAATTATTAGAGGGGGGGGGGAAACGAGTCCCAACAAGAAAGGGGTTGAGAAATAAAACGTTTCGGACGTATATAGTGTAATGGAGTGCGGGTGCCCGTGAAACACGCGGTGGCGTCTATTATTGATTTCGAAAACCGCCAGCGGCTGCGGACCTGTTGAGCGACAACTCGGCGCCCAGTCAGCACCATTTTTTTTTTATTTAACGACGTTCGCGATTCTCGTTCGTCTACCGACGACGATTTCCAAACGAGCAACGCTATGCTATTATTATTCGCTGATCCAGGACCACACGACAATAATATATAATACTTAGACATTTATAGACGCGACACAATATAATCTAATATGACGTATTATATTGCAGTATGGAGGCAGTATATATTATTAGATTAATACATGGTACTCGCGTTCACCTACTACGAGTAGAGCAGACATTTTCAATCCAGTGGACATATTTTATTATAATATGATAAATAATAAATATAGTAAATTATAATATTTATATAATAAATTAACGTATATATAATATAAATTGATACATATTATATTATATACGATACCCAGTTGAATCGTCAGTACCAACTAGGTAAAATGGTTAAGATGGTATACGTATTTCCGATCTTTGCCACATCATTATAATACAATATGTGTACCTATATGTCTGACTGCAGTATAATATACTTTTGGCGCATATACTAGTATATAAAGTGTATGGGGTGGCGACAGGTGGCGTGTATCTCGAACGTTTGACGCATTGAAATGGTATTTTATCACGTCAAAACTCATCTGTGATACAATATCCTATTTACACGACTATACCACTCGTAATTATAGGAATGTTACGGATAATGTAAACATTCCTATATTAGCCAGTGAACCGTGGGTAATTTTTGTTTTTAAAATTTCTATGCAGAGTACTTTTGCAAGTTGCAGTTGTCATATTATTATGTGTTCATAAGGTGAAAAAAAATAAATTGTCCAATTTATTTGAATACTATTATATCTAATATAATATAGTGCATTATCTATATAATGTTATATAATATAGCTATGTGTTGACATTATCCAAAATTTTAATAATATTCATAATGTTCAATTCGACTGATAGAATAAATTATACTTGAGAATAATAACTGTAGGTAATGGTTAGTTAAATTATAACGCGATATTTGGATGACCTTGTTTTATTTTATTCAATTCGAACACTAAGTTCACAATATTTCACTAAATTCACTCGAAGAGAAATGTATACGCTGAAGTTTCATAGAATAACAAATTTTAATTTTCTAAATTGTTTTATTGTTTGTACATAAGTCTAGCGTTCTATATGTCATAATATCCGTTATTGAAGATATCAAAAATTCATGATATAATGTATTGTGTGTTGTGTAACTCATACTTTATTATCACCATCATTAATTGATAATGGTTTGTAAATATTATCTATATTTCATATTATGTTAGGTAGCTAGGTGTTTCTTGATTATTTTTTTGGTGTACTTTTAAGTATAAACGGGATTCGATAAACTAAAAAGTATAGCTGCTTAAATACATAACAGAGGCATCATGAAAAAATGCTATAAGAATTTACTATGATTTTTGCCAATTTTAATAATTATTTGTATCATACAATTTTCAATTTGTTTTCATTGTTTTAATATCTTTTTAGATGTATACTTTTTTAAATAAAAATAGTAAACAGTTTAAATGTTATAACACATAGTGGAAATCCTGAATATATGGGCAATAACAAGATGTCTGAAAATATGCAAAACAAAGCTTACTGAAAACTGTAAGTACATAATATGATAACCATTGCATCAGTTCGTTATAAAAAAATACGCTATAACATACGCATTGCACAATATGCACATATAGTAGTCGGTCACCCACACCAGGTTATTATAGAATTATAACACATAATAATAATTATCTTCTCTTTATTCACCGAGAGAGATGATGTTTAACATGTTATAATGTAACACGAAACCTGGCTGTCGGCGGATTGGGACTGTCGTGTTAGACGTTGTCGCCGGAAGCGACAGAGTCTGCTTTCAAGGCGTAAGAAGAACAGCCGCAAACCATAGGGGTGAGGGGTTGTGGTTACGTCAACCCCCGCACTGTAAATTTCAAGTTCACTTAGTGGAAGATTTTGTTGGTCTTTAATATGTGTTTTAGTCTTCAATTGTAAAACCCTTAACCGGAATGGAATACTTTGAATACGCTATTCGTATACTATTTTATATGCATATATAAATATTTCATCTCGAAGAGAATATATATTGACGATAGAGTATATATGTGTAGGTATATTATAATATCACGTCTTACTTATACCTAAGCAAAATCACAATAAATATTAATAACATAAATAACAATATATAGGTATTACATATTTCTGTATAATATAATATGATAAACTCAATATAACGAAAACGTATCGCAGCTAAAGCTCAGCATCCCAGTTTTCACCGGATTTTCGAGAGAGTCTTACATCGTAAATCTATGCATAACATTATATTATATATAATATAATATATTTTCTATATCTCAGTTTGCAGGGCGCATCGTCGGTGTTAAAATAGTATTATACTTTATTCGACAAGTTAATTTTGACTAAGACAACATATATTATAATATATTATACAACATAACGACAATAAATTTATGGACGGAAGTATTATTCGGTTTTTTGTGCGAAACTGGAAAAACAACGACTGCATCGGCGCCGATGGGTTTTCGCAATGGCGTCAACCACACAAAAATGTTAGTCAAAACACGGGATAGACAATATCATATAATAATTTCATTACGATGCACATTCATATTATCGATGAAGACAATATACATTTCGAGCGAAGTCGACAAATATCGGGATAGATTGACACTGCATTGGGACCAGAAACCAAGGACAACACCAAAATGACGAAAACCTTAAAAACAACAGACCTGCAGAACAACACAATATAAAAAAGATAAAAATATAATATATTTTCATCTTTTTTATATTATATTGTTAGATCTTATAGTTACTATTAGAATTAGTCTTTTAATAATAATATCATCCTAATGATCACCTTTAATGTAATTCTATCCATGTAAGTGTATTTTTGTATATTTGAATATTTGTAAATAACTGTAAAATACCTGACTACAACTAATGGCCACAGATTCCGGGTTTTTTTTTTGAGATAAATAAAATATATATATATATATATATTTCGTATATGTCACACATATATTTAATATTTATTATATTGCACAACACCGGCGCATACCCCAGCATGACTCTAGGGGAGACTTCAGGTATTGACCTTAAGTCCCCGTCCACATTCGATGAGAAATTGATGTTTTGAACTCGCAAGCTCGAATCATAGATATAAATATATTTAGGTATTATACCGCTCTATATTATGCAGTGACCTGTGATAACTGCAGGTTATATAATATATTATTTTGACAACATTTAGGTACCTTATACCTTGGCAGAATTGCACGGTTTAAGATAAATATAAAATGTTATTGAATTAAACGGATAATAACAAAATGGAATTTTGTATGCAAAATACGTAGGTACCTAAATGCAATAAACACATAAGATATATGTTCCTACCTGATATAGTTATTATGACGATCGCTGTTATATTTTATAAGACACAGCATAATAATATATAATGTCGTTGTTGAAAATAACGATTGAAAAATTCGATCAACTGTCTGGAAAAATGTAAGTGTCCTCCCGCAACATATTAGACGCCACACTCATCATCTATATGAAAAATACGAGACCCTCGTCCCT